TAACAGCATAGCCGATTTGCGATTTAGCAAAAAAAAACGCTGGTGTGAGTATGCCCTTAGCAGGTGGTCTTCTTCATCCCAAGAGGAGTCAACTTTGCAGACCTGGAGCTGAGATTAGTCAAAGTCGGCCGATGGCGAGGCATCACTCAAGAGTCAAAACAGTTCTGCCTTCCACCTTTCAACATTTGTACTTGACTTGCCCCACCGGGTAGCCTGCTGGGACATACCCAATAAACTTTTTCTGGTTGAATTCTAGTCAGTATCATGTCAGCTGACATCCATAGCTCGATTACGATGCCCATCAGGTTCGAGACCCTCAACTTACAAGATACGTTCACGAGACATGAACTCTGAAAAACTCTGCAACAGTGAATACCAGTCATAACAGAAGTTTAATAATCAATAATCATGACATATCATCAACAATAATCTCTCGGTTTTTTGGGGGGGGGTAACTTCAGTACAGCCACAAAAACAGTTTGAAATTACACTTCAGGCATTACCGCGAACACAACACAACCCCACACAACCCTACCTGACCGAAATGCTAGCTTGTATACATCACCCAAAGTGCAATTTGAAACCGTTTTTTTTCAAACTCTATTTGTGACTCAGTCCCAGGTCCCAGTCCCAAGTCCCAGCCACAAAAACAGTTTGAAATTACACTTCAGGCATTCCCCCGAACTCAACACACCCCCACGCAACCCAACCTGACGGGAATGCTAGCTTGTATACATTGCCCAAAGTGCAATTTGAAACCGCTTTTTGGCTGAAGTGTATTTTCAAACTCTTTTCGTGACTCTTGCGTAGTTTCCCTTTTTCGTGTTTTAGCATGCTCGAATCTATTCATAGAGAGCAGCATGTGCTGGGAGCTGGGCCCAGCGTCCCATTTGAGAACCTATCAGAAAACATATGCAGAACAAAACGAGACATTACCCGGCTTCGGCCAAGATTAGCAATACTTATTGTGGTCATGAACCGACTAGTACGAATACTAAGTTTCAGAGGGCTATGAGCAAACCACTATTCTTTAGGTCAACTTTGGACAACCTAAGCTTATTCTATACGGGATAGCAGTTGATAGAATTTCATGCTGCAGACAAACCTGAGTCCAAGGTCCCAGCACCAGGTCCCATTCCCAAGTCCCAGGTCCAAGTCCCGAGTCCAAGGTCCCAATCCCCAAGTCCCATTCCGTGTTCCATTAGTGGGTCCAGTCACTTGTACAGTACTCACAAATACTCTAAAAGAGTAGTTTTTGCTTGTACCATGGTTGCAGAGGCCTAGGCAGGCTAGTTAAGTAGATCAGGGTAGGAAGAAGTCCCTGGAAGATGACAGTTATGGGTTGAAAAATCTGTCTTAAACTGCCAATACCTTTCCACACTTGGAAAACGAAGAAGCTGCGGTTAACACAGAGGCCCGATTTGGCCTCCAGCGCCGGGCACATATATCAGCCGCACTTGATGCGCAGGCCCCGTGGTCAATTTATGAGAAAGGTACTGGCGGTTTAAGAAGGCACCTCAAATTTCTTCAATCGATCAAGGAGTCAACGAAATCAATGAATCAATCAACCAATCAACCAATCAACCAATCAACCAATCAACCCACTCCCGACCGTCCCGTCAACCTTCCACCTGCCTGATTTTTCCAAACAGAAAACAGAAAACAAATCAATCAATCAATCAATTAATATCAATCAGTCAATTAGTCGATCAAATTGATTGATTGATTGATTGATTGATTGATCGACTCTGTGTGTGTGTGTGTGTGTGTGTGTGTGTGTGTGTGTGTGTGTGTGTGTGTGTGTGTGTGTGGTGTGTGTGTGTGTGT